CTTCTTTGCCGTTTTATAGTCACACTTCAATACTCGGGCCACTTCTGAGATACCCATTCCCTGACTGACCAACAGTTGGATGTTTTGTCTTTTAACTTCTTTTTAACTCAATTTGTTCCGGACTTTCATTTTGAGTCACAATTTGATGACAAAAACTATTTAATTCTAAATTAAACCCGAATTACGCAATAGAATTGCCTATAAAATCAATGCTTTAAACAAATGACTGGTACACGGTGTAAGTGTGCACACAATTACTGTCCCTTGTATCCGAATTTCTCTTATTGACGATTCTTTAATATCCGAGTCCTTATACATTACAGGCCCATAGGAGCTGCCAGTGCGCAGCAGTTGTCTCTCTTATTAGGTAATACAATATTGTTGTTTCTGGCTATAATTTAAATTTCTCCGGAATGGCTTAATATTTTCAAAAGCGGTTTGTTTTATTGAATAGCCTAATAATGTGATGATTTTGGGCACAAAAAATTTTAATCATGTTGTTGAATGACTTCTATTGTAGAATCAAATGTGGGATCAGTTTTGAGACAATTTGTATGAATAGACCATAAGTTTTATTCCGATAATACTTGTGAACACTCGGGTCGTGTGCTATGAATGGGAACACACATCGAGTCTATGATTTGATCCAATTTTATGAATTTGTTGTGTATTTCATATCCCGAATAAATACTCAAATCCGGGGAACTATAAGAATATCGTATATTTGAATGAATTATACCAATAAACTAAACATCAAAATAATTACTTAAAATCATTCAAATTAAACAATTTTTATGCAATGATAGCCAGGCTATAAATATAGGCTTTCGGTGTATATTTAGTTTGCAATTTGACTTCCGGTGCCATGTATTGACTAGTTCCCACTCCTGTGGTATGACTTCCAAAAGAAATGCAATGAAATGACGCCAAACCAAAGTCAACTAACTTTATAAACCTCCCGTTCCTAACCTCTCGTGCAATCAATATATTGTCGGGTTTGAGGTCTCTGTGAATGATCTGTGGATTCAATTCATGTAAATATTGAACGCATTCTAAGATCTCTTTCAATATATGACACGAAACGTAAAACTCGATTGAATTCATGGGTTCTCCCGGTTGTCGACCAAATACTTGTGGTTTGTGTTGAAGAATATTCTGCAGACTATGGGAACACAACTCCATACAAATGTAATACACATTTGTTCCGTACCATTGCCACATATATTGAACACAATATTCTGACCTAACCTTTTTCAATTTTTCCATCTCTTTCATACATTTCTGTATATCATCTGTAAGTGTACTAGATGTGATAAATGTTAATAATTCATGTGATAATTGTTTTACAAACATTTCGACAAATTTTGATAATTTACAAATACAGTATATTACATTTTAATGTTGTAATAGTTATACTAAATATAAATATATATAAATGTTATTAAATTACTTTTTAATTCTAGTTTCTTAACCGCATATTCGTGTCCATCTTTATTATATTTAGCAACAAATACTTCCCAAA